TTAGTTATGGCTTTTGACGTATCGTCACATCTTTGAGTTACGTCCAATTGACGTTAAGATTAGTTACAACACTGGCATATGTCTGCATCTATACCATGGACATAGACATCCATGAGCATGGACATATAAAAATATGGATGTCCATATCTATGAACATATAAAAATATATCCATGTCCATGGACATGGACATTGGACATCATGTCCATGTTCAATAATTTGCTTGGACATATGTCCATATACAACACTGTATGTAATAATATAAATTTTTTCTTTTCTATTATGATGTTATTAATTATTAATAATAATATTGTCAGAAATTACTAACTATTTGTTTATTCTTTGATTTATAAAGACAAATGCTGTCTGTTGTTCAGACAATGTTTGCTGTCCTCAGGTAAATATATGTATTCTTACAGTATCATTAGAGATGGGAAAAATGCGCATTTTATAATAACATGCACATGAATGCACATTAATGCGCACATTATATAAAATGCGCATGATATCGCATGATATAATTTTTTTTATTTTATATTTTCCCTCCGGAAAATATCAGATATTTGCCAAAATTTTTTCCCAACCCTTCTCATCTTTATGTTCATTCATTTTCTTTGCGAATTTTTCAAAATTTCTGCATTCCTATTTCTTAATTTTGCCTGGCATTACACACCTTGGTTTAAATTAAATATACTTTAATTTCTTATATAAAATTTAGATGGGATAAAATGCGCATGATTCCAAATTATGCGCATTAATACACACGATTGAGGAATCATGTGCACGCATGAAACCTATCTCTAAGTATCATGTTTTAATATACTTTGTTTTATGATCAATGCTTTTATTATTTACTGTATATTTGTATATTTAGGAAACCTACTGCTGTGGTGACAAACAATGCTGCAAATAAGTATAACCATGGTTATAATATTTATCATATTAGAATATTGTATTATTGTAATGTTATTTTGGGACACTTGAAGATCAAAGAACCCAGTAATATCTTCATGATAATCATGTCACATGAAATTATGCAACTACATTATTTGTTTACTAGCACTAATAAATTAGCCTAAACTAATCTATCATCTAACCCTAACACTACCCTAATGTACTAGCACTAAATGAATTAGCCTAAACTAACCTATAACCTAACCCTAATGTAGGCCTAGTGTTCTGCAAAATGGATTCGAGATTTGGATTCGATCCGGATTCAATCTGTGAATCCGTCTCAAATCCCATAATTTGCAGATCCCACGAATCCGAATCCAAACAAAGATTTGATCAAATAATATTCAGATCCGTTATCATTATACAAACGCTTGTAATCTTTTTTTTAAAGTTCTTTTTTTTCGAACTATTACTATTCAAATGTATCGACCACTTTATTGAAATGATTTTGTACAATATACTGTGCAATAGCACAATTTCGATAGATTGTAAATGCTAATCTTGTAGTATGTTTAGTATGTAATTATATCAAGTTCCAAATTAAGCAGCTATTAATATGAGAGAAAACCTGTTACCGGACTTTCAAATATATTTTGTGTACAGTTAGCCGTCTATGGAAAATCTATCATAATCCATAGACGGCTAACTGTACACAAAATATAATTAAAAGTCCAGTAACTCTCATATGATGATTAGAATTAATGGCTGCATTTAAAAGCCTAACTAGTTTGCCTCTGGCATATTCTTGCTTAGCCATCTTTTTAATGTTGAAAAATTCCAATTTGAACTAGAGCGATCTTTTTTTTAATTAAAATCAAATGAACTTTTTTCTTTATTACTAAGAACTTTTTGATTGTAATGCGTTTTATTTTTTCTTTTATACAAAAAAACATCTATTAGTGTTAGAAAAAAGCTTAAAAAGCGAAACAAAAAAAAAAAACCTCAATATCAATCATGTCTCAAGAACAAGAATCACAATTCCCATACTTTGATAATGAATTATTTCTAGATGAATCATATCAAGATGAAATATTTTTAGATAAATCGAATCAAAATGAGTTACATTTTGAAGAATCAAGTCAAACTAAATATCTTGATGAATCAAATCAAAATAAATCATATCCTGATGAATCCCAAGATGAACTTTGCTCGGATAAGCCATCATCGCAAGCAGAAAAGTAATACAGTATAAAGTTTATCAAATATATATTATTATTTATTAATTTTTTAATTTTTATAGATCTATTGTGTAGAAATATTTTAAAAAAGGAAAAGAAGAAGTGAAGTGTTCTATTTGTAACAAAAAGTTAACCTATTATAATAGAACAACATCAAACCTTCTAAAACATCTTAAAATAATACATAAGGGTAAAGTTCCTGAACTAAAAAAGTCAGAAGCAAAAGAAAGTATCACCATTTTGGATATGTTGAATAACTAAAAAAATCATCGTGAACTCTTCAGTCAACAAAAACTTACTACAATGATAAAAAAATGGATTGTAAAGCATAATCAGTCATTTCAAATTATAGAAGATGAAGAACTTAAATCAATATTTACTTACTTGGAACCCTATGCAGTAGGTAAAGATAGAACTTAATAATAAAGCATAGATACGTATTTACTGTATAATAAATAAACAAATATTTTAGCATGCAAAATAAAAGTTTTTATATATATAAATTTTAGATTATATACAGTATAACCTTGATATAATGAAGTTCCAGAACTGGAAATTTTCTTCGTTATATCAAACCTTTATTAGTAGTTTCATTATATTGGGGCTAATTTAAGTATAAAAATTAGAAATAATCTTCGTTATTGTTATATCGAGGTTCATTATATTGAGGTTATACTGTAAGCTTTTTTTTAAATTGTATAAACATTTTTATTTAATTTATATATAAACTCTAATTAATATTGAGTTTTATATAAATTATTTAGTGCCCTCTGCTGATCTTATAAAGCGGCATGTTATGAACAGTTTTAAAGAAGAGTGTGAACAACTTCAAAGAAGAATGCAAGAAATTCCTGGATGTGTAGCAATAACGACTGATATTTGGACAACCTCTACTAATGAAAAATCATTTATGGCTATCACAATTCATTATTTGAGTAAATCTTGGAATATGAAGCATCTTTTGCTTGATTTTATTGTTATGGATGGGTCACACACAGGTCTTACAATTGCGAATGCAATAGAGGATTATTTAACAAAAAATAGAGTTATTTCAAAATTAATATCAATAACATGCGATAATGCATCTGCTAATGTTAAGTTTTTGAATGATTTTTCTGATTCTATGTTAGTAGCTGGTTTTATATTTGATGATGAACAACAATCAATATGTTGCTTCGGTCATATCTTAAATCTTGCTGCCCAAAGTCTTTTAAAATTTGCAGGATGTGAATTAGAAAAGGTACTATTACTGTATTATTAGTATTATTGTAAAGCGAAGAAATCATATTACTTTATTTTTTACTATATTTCCCTATTAGTTACGGGAATTAATTAAAAGCATTAGAGGATCACGAATAGGCCGCAAAAAATTAAAAATATCTAGTAATTTGAAGCCCATTCTAGATATAGCAACTAGATGGAATTCAACTTTTTATATGTGTGAATGAGCATTAAAATTGCGAACGGTATTGGATGCTATGTCTTTCACCGAAATAGAATTGTGTCAATATTAGCAGACGATGAGTGGGAAAAAATAAAACTTCTTGTTGAAGTTTTAATGCCTTTTAAAGATGATTAGCATATTATAATATATATTAATATAAATAAAATTATTTATTTACTTAATTAATTTAATTTAGCATCTACCTTTATGTCATCTTCAACATATCCAACACTATCATTGGTTATTCCTCTTTATCATACATTACTTGAAACACTTAATGAAGTTAAACAATGAAACAATATAGAATGGCTTAAGCAAGGGTGTGAAGCTGCAACTAACAAACTTCTCACTTATTGTAAAAAAACAAATAAATTACATCTAGCAGCTGTTGTATTAGATCCACGGCTCAAAATTAAATACTTTGAAAGTCTTAAATGGTCGTCTCAACTTATTTCTCAAATTAAAGAAATATAAGTATAAAACGTATAACAAGTAATATTTTTAGTAATCTGATTGTAGTTTAACATACGTATGTATGACATACATAGTACAATATATGTACAGTGCTGCAGTACAAAAATTTTAAAGATCTTATTAATTACTATTAGACAGAGTAGCGACTTATTTTAATTTTTAGCAATGAAATGTAAAGCAAGTACTTATTTTTGGTCTATACGTACAAAAAAATTAGTATTAAGAATTTTATCTTTGCATATAGTATTTCTATACAAAGAATATACAGTAGGTTAGTTCGGTATTAGCATTTCTGAAATTAGGTTCTTAGAATTTTTCTTTGAAACCACCAAAATATTAAAAAAAAAATTAACACCAAGCAACAGTGAAATTAACTTTAAAGAAAAAAAAATTTACAAATTTGACATACTACAAACAGTAGTAACTAACCTGGTAATTTTTTTTTATTTATTGGTATTTTATTTAGAAATTATTACATATTAATTCAAGAAATATATATATTTAATAGATCGTTAACATATATGATAAGTCATTGTTTTTAACTAAACAATAGAAAAATAGCCATGGAACAACTTATTGCAAGATAAGAAATAGTAGCTTACAAATTTAAGTAAATTAGTAGAAAATGATCAAATAATATATAGGTATCAGAAGGTGTAAAACATTCTATTAATTGATGATTTATAGAAGTAATACTTTTAGAAAAGAAAAATACTGTAAGTCATGAGGTCAGTAAAAATGTTTATAAAGTAGAACTTAGTGTTTTTTTTTTTATAATATTTAATAACTATTTGATCAGATTACTTAAAATATGTAGGAAATTAAAAATTTATTGAATTAAATCAATAGATTTTTTTATTTATAATACTATTTATATTAATTTCACAATAATTACTTTAAAGTGTTAAAGATCAATATGAAAGTCAATACGCACCTCTTCCTAATCAAGAAACAGCAAGCACAACTACTGAGTCTCCCAAAAATATAGTATCACGAATCTACAAATGAACACGTACAGAAAGTCAAAGTGAGCTTGATACATATTTGATGATGCCACTTATGGAACAGGATACAAATATTTTAGAATGGTGGCGGGCAAATGAAGCAGGTTACCCACACCTTGCAAAATTTGCTAGAGATTGTCTTCCAATACCTGCTACCAGCGTTCCTAGTGAAGAAATGTTCAGTATTAGTGGTGATATGATAACCAACAAACGAAATCGGTTAGATGGAAAAACTGCCCGGGCAGCAATGTGCTTAAGGTCATGGTGGAAAGAATTAGAAGTTTAATATGAATATATGTAATATTCAAAATGATTTTTTAATCTTGAATTTTACTGAATTTAATAAATTTGGGTTTATAAATGTTTTATTTTTTAGTTTTAAAGTAATCTAATAAACGCTTCTTTATTTTATTATAATTTTATATGCTTATTAATTTATTATTTACCTATTTTAAGGTCTTTACTATCTTTATCCACGTTTGCTAGCGTTGGTACTTGATTCGACTCAAGGTGATTTTATCAAATAAATCATGAAAGTTTCTTATTATACTTGGGAACTATTATATTTTAGCATATACTGTATTAAATAATATGCATGTTACTGTAAATTTTAATAAAATTTTAAGTTGTGAAAATTTTAAATTGTCCATAAATTGAAATTTTTTACACTCAGCATTCTTTAATTGCAAACTTCTTGATCTACTTAAACGGCTCTAATTTTCTTTATTCATCGCCAAATATATAAAGGTTACTCCAAATGAGATAATGCATTTAATATAGGGTTTGCACTTCAGGTGGGTTAACTGTATATCAATATAATTTAATAGAACTTTGGCTAGATTCGAATCGGATCGAATCCGAATCTGCATAATGCGAATCCGAATCCTAGCTTGGATTCGATTCGAACTTCGAATCTTTAGAAATATTCGCCGGATTCGATCCGTGCGGAAAACTACGTAGCCCGAACACTTAATCATGTGATGTGATTATCACGAAGATATCACTGGGTTCCTTGATCTTCAATCTTCCCGTTACTTTTTATATATTTGTAATATTTTATCAAATATTTATGTTTTATTAAAGACTTCAATTTTATTGTTGTTTATCTTACTTATCTAAAGTTAATAAAGACTTTGTACTATTGTTACTTTATCAAAATTAATTGAAATATTTAAAAAGATTTACATGTTATATATGTATTACGTGTCAAAATAACTTAACGTTTCTCAAAAAATGGTAGCCTGATTATTATTAATAATTTAACATTTGAAAAAATACCTTAATTCATCAAAGATGGCCAAAAAATTATAGATTTCAAACTATCAAAGCAGATAAATGAAACTTATATAGCTTTAAACTCAATCATTTATAGAATGCCAGCATATATTGAATTTATCGATCCAAAATATAAGTACGATAATAAATTTGACACCTATAGCTTTGAACAAATCTCTGAGAAATTTTAATAAGAATACCTCCATTTAAACTTTTGAATCAGGATATTCATTTGCTATTCACATATTTCAAAGGAATAAAGAAGAACCAATAGAAGGTACTTTATCTCAATCTAACAAACTTTACAAAAAATATTGAGACAGCAATCTCATCAATCGCCCAGAATAATCTCAAAGCTTAGAACTTTTGAGAAAATTCTCAGAACAGCTAGCATAGCCCTGAATCAAAAAGTGCATTAACCTAGAATTTATCTCGCAAATGCAGGTTTGAAACTTTTATAAAATTAATAATGATACATCTATTTTCAAAACACCAACCAAGTTTATTACACCCATAAAGGCTGCATTCTTTTGTAGCCCTCAAATACATTCATATGCTTTCTTAGTACCTATTCTATATCAATAGCATCATCCTATGTCATTTTTTATTCCTGAGCTTATGTTATTTATTGGGAAAATCTTTTTAATGCAGATCTACGCAAATTTACAAAATTTATATTATATGGGAACTTGCACATGAATCCCTTTTTATAAAGATTTAATGAATGATTAAAGATAATTTTACGATTTCATATTATGAAAAGAAGAACTATTGCTGATATACCACCTGATTACGCTGATCTGATAGAGCAATAATAATTTAAAAAATGTAGGATTTATAGAACACATTTTTTGAAGTAAATATTCACCTATTTAATCTGAAACGTGAATTTGCACTAGGGCTAGATCTGAACACACCAGAGGACAACACAACCTCTAACTCTATCTTAAAATGTTCGAACAAACAATTTTCTTTTTGGATAAAATAGGCAAAGTGGCGACTCATGAGGAAACGCTAAAATCAAAAATAATGCAAACAAAATTTGGAAATAACTTGTAATTATCCGAAAATAAACATCAAACAAAATTATTTAGGCGCTAATTAAAAAAAAAATAAAAAAAGATTATTAGTCTTAATAGATTTTTCATTTAGTTTTGCTTTATTTCAAAATCATTGGTTTTTGGCTTTTAAAATAATGACTTGTCAAATTTTCCTATACAATATATGTTTCTAATATTTGTTTTAAGAGATTATGAGCAAATAAGTGAAAATTTACATTAAATAAAAAATTTTTAAATGTGCTTACTTAACAATACTCAAAGAGCAAACTGTAAATACTTGGTTTTTTTTTTTTGCTTGACATAATGATACGTAATCAATTAAAACATTATTTTGTTAATAATTTATATTGATATAATATACATCTATTTTTTAATCAAAGATCAGATTAACGTAGAAGTAATCTATGTGCTTTCAGTGACTTGCGACTAATACCTGAAAAATTTTAGCGTACTGTACGTATAGTCCTTTTCTGGCATCTTATTGGCTGGAACAAGTGATCGGCAAAAATTTTAGCGTATAGTACTGTACATCACTACTTACGACGAACTTACGGTAAACACATGAACATGTAAACATCCCTTACTATAATCAATGGAGTTTTTTAACCATAATAGGATACGGCATGCACGCCACTTTATTCGCCGAGTGTTATACGAATTTTAGTTAATACCTAATCGTTGCATCATAATCATATTCCTAGAATATTCCACGATTACATATTTAACGTAATGATTTGATCATAAATTATTACTACATTTCTTTGATTAATAACATATTAGAACTAAATCGGATGTAAAATGCCTTCATAAAACACACATCCGCATAACAGTAACACGATTTGTCAAACGTAAAATTTTATCATATGATTTTTGTAGATCATATAAATTGACGAAGTAGCATTTTAAAAAATTAGCACAAGTTTTAAATATAATAAATAATACTCATTAAAAACAAAACGTTGCTGAGGTTTTTGCAAATCAAATGGTATAAATAGCATAAGAAACTAACAACTACTTACGAAGTTAAATGTCTTCAAAGATGGGCGACCATTTTGCCTTCGTAAGCTAGATTAGTTGTCAGTTTGCAAGATACCGGCTTGAAAAGTATTTTATTAGTTGCGCCTAAGTGAGGGCTTTCTGCAAACCTTTACCTTCAGGTACTAGTACATTATGAACGTGGGAAGTAAAATCAAGAGGAACTGTTCTGTGATATATAGATCACACTAATTGCTTGCGATTTCATTAGAATTTCTTTACTAACTTTTTTACTAATAAAAAATTTACCCACATGATCTGTGTGACAAATCGTGTTACTGATAACCTATGGGCCCAAATATACATGCCGTAGAAATTAGTTTCGGCAGCGCAAAAGCCGCAAGTCATCATAATTTATGCCGCAATCCGAAGCAAATTATGAAATCCAAAACATATGTCATAATCTAAATTAATTGCCACAATTTGTCTTATGATAAAAATATACTTTTTTTGTTTTTTTTTTTACATCAATTATACTTTATTACTTTCGGCGTTATATTGATTATGCTTTTTACTTTCGGCACTATATCAATTATACTTTATTACTTTCGACACTATATCAACATTTATGGCATTAGTTATGATTTTAGGCATTGGTCATAAGTTGCGGCATGAATATAGGCATTGCCGCATGTCAAAATTCAGGTAAAATTATGCCGCAATAATTTGTATAGGCCCAAAGCTAAGCCGCTCATACCCACTTACTGGTACTAGCGTTGGCGCACGGGGCATGATTTCAAATCCTCACATTGGCACGAGGATGTGATGTTAAATCATCACATATAATTACTAACTGCATGTGATGGTTTACTAATTATTTTCACGTGATGTTTTAGGGCGTTATGCCGTGCCCATGTGAGGATTTTCTGTGCCCCAAACTTTTTTAACGCGTCGCAAATATCTATAAAAGAATTAGCGAAATTTGCATATTACGCATGTTTTATGTAAAAAATTTTTCACATAAAATATAAAACCTTGGGATAATAGGAATTTAATAAAAACGAGAGTATATTAACAATAAGCACAGTATTCATATAGAACATTATTAAATCTAAAAATAGTTCATTCTACATTTAACATTTAACGCAATCCATGGATTTACCAACTGCATGGAATCTCAATGATAAATCTGCTTTTTTGAGCGTAGATTTGAGTGGACTTAGAGTGAATTATGAAGGTGTGATTTAGTGATAATAGGCAAATTGGAATTGTTTCAAATCTTATGAGCATGAAATTTTATCAGCTCTATGATAATACAGGCTGGTTAAATTTTCGAAAAATATGCTCATAATCTTGCGTATTTTCCCATCGCTAGTGAGACTATTTTATAAGTTAACATGGCAAATGATTCGACATTTCTGAATTAATTCAAATTTTCTTTAAACACATGTAGGATTGGGCAAAAGCAAAGAAGATGGCGCGATACGGGCAAATCATCCAATTACACCGCAATGCCAGTTATTTTATTTTGAAGTTGATATTATAAATGATGGAAATACTAAGCATGTTGAAAATTATTTTGTTATAAATTTAAATAATTCGTTTAAATTTTGCTTAAAATTCTTTATATTCTATTTAAAAGTTGTATTGGAGTTGGATTTTGCGAAAAGACGGTTAATTTAAATAGTATGCCTGGTAATTAAACTTATTATTATTATTATTTGCATATTTAATATATACATTCATAATATTTTTTCATAGGATGGGAAAATGGTTCCTGGGGTTATCACGGGGATAATGGAAAATTCTTTAGCTGCTCTGGAGAAGGCAATTCTTATGGGCCATCGTTTTCTACTGGCGATACCATTGGATGTTGTTTAAATTATAAAAATAACTCTGTATTTTATACTAAAAATGGTAAAAACCTAGGTAGTCATTGTAAAAACTTTATAGTTTTATTGTTTAAATCATGTATATCGTAATAGTTTAATATTTTATAACATAAATTTTTATAACATAAATTTTAAGGTATTGCATTCCGAAATTTAAAAGGAATCTTGTATCCTTGTGTTGGAATGAGATCGCAAGGTGGATCTATAGAAGTAAACTTTGGTAGTAGAAAATTTAAATATGCAGGTAATGCTTAATGGTAATAAATATATATTTTCTTTGATTTATAATTTAATCTGTAATCCTTTGTAAATAGAGACTACTAGTGATGATATAAATGATGAATTATTGAAAACAAAATGGACCGAATTTCTTAATGTGCATATTAATACAACGAATATATATACACTTGAAGATTTAGAAAATTCATTAAAAATCAATCAAGATACTGCTCTTAAATTTCGAGACAAATTTAATTTTATTATGGGAAGCTGTGAAGATGCAATTATTGATCTAACAAAATTGCTTGAAATTGAACCAAGCAGCAAATTTGCACTAAGATATCGAGGTGAAGCCTACTATCTAATGGGAAAATATAAAGAATCTTTCAAAGATATTAGTGAATTACTGAAAATTAAGCCAAATGATGAATGGGCATCAAAAACTTTTATAGAAATTATTAAAAAGTAAATATAGAGTTACTCTGCTTTCAAGTGTATTCATACTTCTAATTATTTATATTCACGTTAAATTAATAGGGAGTAAGCATATTATTGTTTTAATTATGTTTATCAAGGTTAACTAAATAGACTTTGATAAATATTGCTTTTAACTTTGGTAAATATGCATATTGTTTTTTTTTTAATTTTACTAATTGGTATTTTTTAACAAACCATCTTATAAATCTATGTATTTATATATTTATTAATAATTAGATTGTAAGTGTAAATTTTATGTATACATTCTTAAATATGTATTTCATTTGAACTTTTTTTCAGATAAGTTACAACTTTTAAATTACTAGTTTATAACTACAAAGCCCATGTGTTGATGAAACATATAAATTGGGATATTTTTATCTTCACGGAATTAACGTTGAAAAGGATGAATATAAAGCGTTCACTCATTTCCAAGAATCTGCGAATATGGGTTATACTGAAGGTCTTGGTTATTGTTATCAATGTGGGATAGGTGTTGAAAAGGATGAGAATCAGGCATTCATTTGTTATCAAAAATCTGCCGATATGGATAATTCTAGAATGTATCAAGTTGGTCATTGTTATCAATATGGGATAGGAGTTGAAAAGGATGAGCATCAGGCATTCATTTGTTATCAAAAATCAGCCAACATGAATAATTCTAACGGAATGTATCAAGTTGGTTATTGTTATTATTTAGGAATTGGAGTTGAAGTTGATAAGCATAATGCGTTTACATATTATCTGAAGTCCGGTGAGGCTGGTAATTCTTTGGGAATTTGGAAAACCGCCTTTTGTTATTTTTTTGGAATTGGCGTAAAGAAGAATGGTGCCAAATTTTTGGAATGGATCAAGAAGTATGTTAATTTTTTAATTTTTTATTATAATATTTTGCAATTTTATTTGAAAATTTGAAATCCCATACAATTTTTACATATTAGGGAGTAAGTATAAAGTCATTCATTAATCTATATCAGCAATTTAAGTTCATAAATATTTATTGTTTGTTGTTTTAGCCCGTAAGTACAAAAATTTTACTACATAAAATCAGCAAACAAGTTCACAGAGAATACTTATTTACCATGACATACAAATCATTTCATTCGCATTAAATTAGTTAGTGAGTATAAAGAACATTTAATAATTTTTTTAGAAATAAAACAGCAAATCAAATTTACAAAATGTGAACATAAATACTTTTACTATTCGCACAAATCATTTCATTCGTATTAATTTAGTGTGAGTATAAAGAACATTTAATAATTTTACGAAATAAAATAGCAAAACAAATTCACAAACAAGATCAAAAATACTTATTTACCATTACCATTACGTTTAAATTCACTTCATTCGCATTAATTTAGTCTGTGAGTATAAAGAACATTTATTAATCGATGGAAATAAAAACAACAAAACAAGTTTATTTACCATTACGTTTAAATTCATTTCATTTGCATTAACCATTTTATTCAGTGAGTGAGTATAAAGAACATTTATTAATCAATGGAAATAAAATAAAAGCAGCAAAATAGTTCACAAAACAAGTTCATAAATACTTATTTACCATTACGTTAAAATTCATTTCATTCGCATTAATTTAGTCGGTGAGTATAAAATTTTTTACATCCGGCATAAAGTTCGAAACTGCAGAAATAAACATTATATATATATATAGAAATTCTAAATACGGAAAATGTGCACATTGTAATGAAGATAACACGGATAATGCATGGTGTCTATCATGCGACCCTGACATAACAATAAGGTGTATAAATGGAAATAAAGATGCATGAAAGAATTTCAACTTAGAGCCCGTACATATGAAGATGTGATTGAATGGATTCCATTTAATAGATTATCTGATGTTAAAGAAATCGGTAAAGGAGGATTTGGATCTGTATATTCAGCAACCTGGCTGGATGGTATACGAAAAGTTGATAAAATTAATGACGGTGATAGTTATGTCTACAAAAGAGCGCGTGAACCATCTAGCGTTGTTGCACTCAAAACGTTGGCAAGTTATAATATTAGATGATAAATTGTTGAAAGAAATCTTTCATAGATAAGAAAGTAAAATTCTAAGGAAAACAATTTCAATTTTTTAAAAGAGGTAAGTAAACTTATTGTTTTTACAATATATCTAATAGTTTTGTGAACTAATTCATTGTTTAAATTTTAAGTTTAAAAGTCTTATGACATGTAAATTAAACTATAATAGGCTCGCAATATATGGAATAACTAAAAATACAGAAACCAATGAATACTTGATGGTATTTCAGTATGCTAATAAAGGGTGTCTTCAAGAGAGAATTTTTGTAAACTTACATGGCAAACTAAATTACAAATACTTCGAGATATTTCAGAAGATTTATATTACATTCACTTGACAAAATATATTCATGCTGATTTTCATAGTGGTAACATTTTGCAAGAGCAATGTACAGTACTAATAAAGATGTACGATCTTATATCGCAGATCTAGGATTGTCTAGAAAGAACAATGAATGTATTTCAGAGGGTGAAATTTTCGAAGTCCTGCCCTATGTTGCTCCTGAAGTTTTATTAGGCAAAGAGCAGTTTACACAAGCATCAGATATTTATGGATTTGGTATTATTATGGCAGAAATGTCAACCGGACAAAGGCCTTTTGATGGTCATAAATTTGACATAAAACTTGCAGTCAAATTAGCAAAGGATTGCGACCAGAGTTTGCACCTGGAACTCCTAAATGTTATATTGAATTTGCTGAGAAATGCATGAATTCGGATCCACAAAAACGGCCTAGTGCAGATGATATTTATCATAAAATTATTGATTGGCTTAATAAGTTGGCTTCAAATTATGAAAATGAAGTCAAAAAGCAGTTCTTAAATGCAGATCAAATCATTAAAACATTGCCAAAAATTCCTCCAAATCATCCAGATCATATGTACACCAGCAAAATTATTAGCACACAAAAGATAGCCAATGCAATTAAAGGTATTTTTTAAAAATTATTTAAAATAAATATTATGTATATAATATTAATCATGCATCGATATTAATCAATATTAGTGTTATCCGGCAACTATGATCTAAAACTGTCATCTAATTACGTCATCGATTCATATAAATATATTAGATCTTCGATAAAGAAATTTTTTTCAAATGCGAAAAAAATTTTTTCTTACGTAGCACTTTTTTGTGCTCTATAATGTTAGCGTAAAAAAAAAAAAGAAATTTCTTACACTCTTTAAATCTGAGCTAAGCCATACTTGAAAAACATAATCATTCTTCATCTCACATTTCGAAGGACATAATTGCTTCATCTGGATCTCCGTCAGTGTATTTTGAACAACAATTAAGCGTAACAAGAATAAGCAAAACTGAAGTAACTAACGTAACCAACGTAACCAGGTGTACAACATAGTTAGATATAACCTTTGAAGGTTTAATTATTTATAATAAAGCTACGGTTAGTAAGTTTAAGAAACGTAAAAGGAATGTCAAATAAAAAACAAAAAACTTCCCGTACTAGTGCCAAGGTTTTATTTTAGATTTTTTTTTTTGTTTTTTATTCTAAACTATAATTTATAATTACTTATAATTTAAACTTTAATAATATAGACATTTAAATATGTAGAACCTTCATCGGAAGATCTAAGAGCTATTCGCGAAAATTCCAAAGTAAAGGCAACACATCAAGCAACTGAAGTATGGGTAAAAGCTCTGGAGGAATTTCGTGCTGATGTTGGTTATGATGGAAAAATTGAGGAGGTAAATTCGAAGACAGTATTGGAGGATCAGTTGTCACGTTTTGTATGTGTGATGAAACGTAAAGATGGCAAGGAATACCATGCATCTTCTATACGAAATTGCATGGCAGCAATCTGGCGTCATCTTAATGAACATTCGGTTATGGATAAACCAGTGGATATTCTAAACCCCAAAGTTTACTATGGCTTGAATACCGTTGTAAATGGAAAGCTAAAAAGTCTTGCTGCAGCAGGTTTGGGTAAACGTAACGGGGCTGATGGTTTAACAAAACAAGAGGTTGATCAAATTCTTGAACATCCTACTATGCAAAACAATCCCCTGAAGGATTGTTACACCGTATCTTTTTTTATAATGCTGTACTTTTAGCATTACGTAATGACTATGAATTTTACTTTAGTAAACGTCCTATAAAAGCTGTCTCAAATTTTTACTTAAAGCCTTGTGATTCAAATGCACGTAAGTATTTATTTAACTTATTTTTTTTACAATTTAGTTAATTTCTAAAATGCATTTATTTTAACTATTTTTTTGCAATACAGAAAATTTTAGCACACAATGGTACTATACACGTGCCCAACCTGAACATGTATTGAGGAATTATTTTAAAACAATATGTGAGGATGTAAATATTTCTATTGGTAATAGAAATATTTCTAATCATTCTGGGCGAAAAACGTCGGTTCAAATTTTAAAAGACCTCGGATATTCTGACTCAATTGTTATGTCAATCACAAGACATAGATCATTACAAGGTTTAGCTGCATATGAACGTCCCAAATCAACTATGCAACAAGAAGGGTTGGGTGGCTTTTTTAATGCTCTAACTTTGATTGCAAGTACACCAAAAAATAACCAAGATCAAGACAAAAATAATTCAAAAAAAAAACCTGATAATTTATCTGGGTTTGTTTCAGCAAGTAATTATTCTTCGTTCTGTTCTGAAATTCAAGATGATTTTTTAGTAGCCACGTCTGAACCACTATCACAAGATGCATTTGAAGATATGCCAGAACCATTGTCACAAGATACACTTGAACCACTGTCACAAGATACACCTAACGGTTTGCGAAGTGCATTAATTGAGCTTGACCAAAATATTAATATTAGTCAAATTGAAATGCAAGTTTGTCCGGAGAATGAAGGCAAGACTCAAAAGCAAAAAAATAAGGAATCTATGGAGAAATTACTTACTGGCAGTACATTTAACAATTGCACATTTAATTTTGGGTCTTAATAGATACTTTTAATATTTGCGTATTTTTTAATTTTTAAATATAAATATGTAAAAAATTAATGTAAATTTTAATAAATATGCATTTATTTGCTTTCGATATTCTTAAAATTTCGAATATTTGTTTGTGTAACATTTTTCGCATAAAAATATCAAGGCAAAAAAAAGCCATGATCATAAGCATTTGCCGGATAAGCAATAAATAAAATATTTAATATTTTCCAATAAGAATTGTCATCAATAAGTAAACCTATTGAATCTGTTAATATTCCTACTGGTAAGTATTACAGTGTTAAACTTGCTTATAAATCTACAAATTTATTATTCACTTTCTTTTAATATTTAGATTTTTAATAGTTTTTTTAACGATATAAAACTTCTCAAGTACAATTAAAGATATTGTTTAAAATTAAAAATTATAGTTATGTTCAGAAGTTTTGTTACTTGATAACAAATAAAATTAAGAACTTGAATAACTTCATTTAATATCTCTAATTTAGCAAAATATTCATAAATAATATAAGCAAACGCCTCAATAAATTCGTGATCCTTGTTAGTATACAAATCACAATTATATTCAAAAAAAAAATTTATTGCATTACATACATTCATAGTATTACCGGCAATAAAGATCCCTATAAGAAAAGTGGTACGTGTTGTGGTACGGGTTGCTTTCGGGAATGTACGAAGTGGCACAGATTGTGTGGCACGTACAGGCATGTTTTACAGAGTGGCACGGTAAAAATGGCACGGACATTACGGCAAGAGGTGGCACGTTATATCACGCCATACGGAACAACACGTTCAGATGACACGTATGTGTACGTTGTACACGTGTTGGCTCGTGATACGTGTTGGCTCGTTTCGCGGAGAGCGAAAGATCAATAAATGATTTTTTTTAAAAAAAAGTGCAATATCTCATAATTTCACTGATAAAGCTGCTCTGAGTATCTTAACAAAAAAGATTCCTTACAAAATTTTACTTTATATGCAGCTAGTATGTTCGTATTATATTGAATACAATGTAAATTTTATGTTTTAATCATTAATCCACATGTTTGTTATTTGTTATCGCAGTGGCACATGAATTTACGTATCATTACACGTGCCAAATCCCGTACCGATTCAACTAGTAGACTGCTGCAAAACCCGTGCCATTACGGCCAATTAGCACGGGCATACGGTCCCACACGGACCACCTAATCCGTACCTACTCGGACCATACCTGTACAAATCCAGATCTTGACCCATGCCACAAAGGCCCGTACCGATCCGAACCATTTTTCTTATAGGGATCCGACTACAATTTTTGCTAGTTGACAGTAAACTAATTAGCAGGTACCTGGAGACTTTCTCATAATTAACCAATAATTAATACGATTAGAAAAATCTAAATAAAATATCCATTTTGAAATACCGTATTTTACTGATAATAAGCACCCCCGAAAATAATCACCCCTGGCCTGCATTATGCAAAATTTGGCCTGAATTATAACTACCTTGGCCAACATTACATGCAAAAAAAGGGTGCTTATTTTTGGTAAAATACAGTAACGTAAGAAACCGCCTTTCGCGCAAACTTCCTTAAGCTTTATTAGGCAATCATCTAACATAAAAGTATCTAGTATAAATATGTGTAATTAAGAGGAAAGTATATCAAATCGATCCAAATTATAATTTTTAAACTAGTTATACGCCTGCTCATATATTGGGAGCTTCTTTTTTTAATATCTCCTGCTTAGGTTTATTGGTTGACAAGAGCATTCTTTCATAATTTTACATACAAATTAATTATATCAAGCGTGTCGCAGATGAAAATTTAATAATATTGTTGTGCTAAGCAAGTGTGTTCTCAAACTCTTCACTCAATAGATTGGAAATAGGTTTTTATTTCAGGAAATAAACCAAATAATCGATACACATCATCTGAAGATAACAATTTTTTATTTTGTTTTTTAATATTTTTTTATTTGCTATGAAGTTTCTAGTATGAAGAGTAAAAGTAATTTGTTGTTGATGGCAAAGATCCATATTGTTATACCGTATTTCTCCGAAAATAAGCACCTCTTTTAGCACATAATGTTGGCCAAGATAGTTATAATTCAGGCCAAATTTTTTATAATACAGGCCAGGGGTGCTTATTTTCGGAGGAATATGATAAGTGTATTTAGTGCAAAGTATAATAATTTGATTGTAAAAAAAAAAATGATTTGATTATAAAAAAAAATAATGGTTCGATAGTAAAAAAAAGTTATAGGTTGATCGTAAAAAAAATAATGATTTGATTTTAAAGCACTTGAATAATCTCACTCTTTGATAAATTTTGGCCAATTAGTGCAGCTCTATAAAGTAAAAAGATAGTCACTAACTATCTTTTTTTTTTGACTGCTGTGATAAACTCTTTTAACTGACTGAGCTAATTTTTATTATTTAAAATTTATATACCAATTTATTGATTGAGGTGCTTGAGAGCACCTTTAGTTGAGTATTTATTGTTTATCATGTAAGATATTCAAAAGTAATACTTGAACAACCTTTATAAATGATAAATTTTGAAGAAAAAAAGATGGGTTGTAGCTCACTGACCTGTTCATTGAAATAACAGCTTACTTGGTTAAATTATTTAATTTCTAACTATTGAATTTTATTAAGTGAGGTACTTGAGAAACTTTACCATAAACTACTGACTCAAGTATCTGATGTGACAAATAATGTAGATCAATTTTTAAAATATTATTTATGTGTGCATATTATGTATAATATTTAATTATTTACTATTTGAAAAATTGCATCACACCAGGTACTTGAGTTAGCAGTTTACGTAATTAAAAAATTTATCACTAATTCATTAAGTGAGGTGCTTAGGATCATCCAAAGTTAGTGGTTTCTAAATGATTGGTTATATGTAAAAATTTCATTATATGCAACATATGAGTGCTGCCAAAGAAAATCTACAAGTTGCACTTTTGAATATTAACTTTTAATATAAATATCTTAAAATAGGCAATTAATACCTACTGTTCTTAATATTATTTGAATCATTTCAATAAGATGATTTAAAAAAAATATTAAAATTATAGGTATTATATTGCTAATTTTAAGATATTTAAATTAAAAGTTAATATACAAAAAATGTGACTTGTAGGTTTTTCTTGGTGGTACTCATATGTTCTACAGATTTTTAGAATATCAATTTAGGCTGTTCTCAAGCATCTAAATTAATTGATCAGATGATAAATGTGATAACACTCAAGCATCATAATTAATAATGATATTTATAAAATTAAATGCTTGAGCATACTACTTAAAAATACCTAATTAAAAAAATTTTTTACTATCAACAGTTTAATTTCCTACCTTAGTTATGTTGGCTCATTCTTTTAATGATTTTAACAATTTAAATTTTTTTTACTATTTATTAAATATGAAAACCATCTATCTGAATATTTTAGTTTTAGGTTTTTCTTTATTGAGATAATTTATAACTTAAATGAATAGAAAATAGTAAAACAGAATTCATTATGGTTTAATTAAATATTAAAAGATCATTGTATTTATATTAATTTATCAATTGTTTGCAACTTTTATTAATAGTAAATTTTTGAAAAAAAGATTATTGAAATAATACCTCTTTTGGTTAATCTATTAAATTTCTAACTAATTAGTATTAGTATTAAATGAACTTGATATTTTATCTACAACTTGTAAATTTTCTTGACTAGTATTAGTAGTAGAAGTTTGATTATTGTTACTAATGGATGACTTTAAAAGAGATATCTAAAAAAATTTTTATTAATTCTTTTTAAAAATTTACAAATTTAAATAAAATTCAATATATACTTCTTTATATTCGCTATTAGTTTTATTTAAAACTGAATTACATCATGGCACAAAAAAATTTTGTTGATTAATATAGCTGCCGCAACAAATTTGAACTGGCAGATTCTTGATTTTGATTGGCTAAGAGCAATAATCAAAAAATTAGGCTGGAATTACTTATAATTTTACTAATGAAATCATAGCCTTATTAAGTAAAAATTGTTTCTGGGTTAATTTTAGCACAATGCGAGTTTATTTTTTAAGAATTTCTATTTTTGTAATAAAAAAATTAAAAAGTTAATTCTGGCTGGAATTTAGTAAACAATTTTGTAATATAGGCCAAATTTTTGAAGATCCTTAGCCATTAGCCAATCAAAATTAAGAATCTGCCAGTCCAAATTTGTTGCAGCAGCTATAGTTAATATAATGTTGTTGTAATAGCATATGATAATTTGTTTAAGAACACCAGAAATTGTAATTAAGCAAATGAATAATAGAACTATTAGGAATTGCTAGAGAAGTAGTAGAAGTGCTTGAAGTGGCTAGAACAGATAAATTTGAAGTTGTCAGTAATGCCAATATATTTTTTTGTTTGTTGGATAGTTGCTTTTTTTTTTGTTTGTTGAAGACATAATAATCATAATATTACAAGAGCTCATTCAATCATTAATTGCAATCTTTATATTCATTAATTGTAATAATTGTGTATCATCTCAGTCACTATTTAATCACACTCAGGAAGATGCTTGAGAGCACCCTGAATTTAATATGATAAAAAAAAATAGATGATTTATTTTTATTCTCAAATCTTTAAAGCAAATAATCAATATCTTAATATAGTGTAATAAATGCAATTCATCTTTTAACTTTTAATCAAACTATAATGAATAATACTTTTATTTTTCATTCACTAAGGGTGTTCTCAAGTAACTCTCTCAATGTGATCTGATAGTGATTGTAATGATATTCAATTATTACAATTGATCATTATAATAATTGCAATTATTGTTTGAACAAACCATCCTTGCTTTACGATATGTCTTCAGCAAAAAAAAAAAAAAAAAAGTGACTATCCAACAAACAAATGTGACTCCTTCTTAGACAAACACCTCAACATATAAATGCAACCCTGGCAACTCCAAATGCTCTTTACAGACATTACAAATATTCATATGTTGTTTACAGCAATAATATTTACAGCTTTTTGCTTTTTAACTTCGAACAAAACCAATGCCGAAAATAATGAAGCATTTGAATACTAAAAATTTTTAATAAAAACAAAATAAATACAGTATATATAATTATTTCTGGTGTAAAAGTTAAGAAATAACAATTGTTAGCAAGTTTTTGCTCTTTGAGTTTTTTGGAATTTTATTATCAACAAGTGTTTTAATAAAAAACAATACAATAATTTTTTTAATGATTATAATTTTGCTAAAGATTCATGATATAAAGAAAAGTGCTTAAACAACCTCTTTTTTACTATATTAATAAGCAGTGTTGGCCAATTAGTGTTAACTCTATGAAAAAAAATGATCTGTGCCTCCAGACTTTTTTTAATGAAGTAGCAATTCACTTGATCAATTTTTTCTGCCCTGACTATTTAAAATTTTATTTCTGTTTAATTGATCTAGGTGCTTGAGAACACCCTAAATTTAATAATTTTTAAGCAAAGATGACTCGCAAATTGAAGGATTTTGGGTGTTCTCAAGCATCAATCAGGATGTG